GATTTTGTTATGATTGACTTATGAAAGTGTCTAGGGTGAATATAAAAATTACAAATTGTGAAGTTATTAACACAAACATTTTTTAAACTACGATGGGTCTTAGGAGGCCATGTTTTGGTATTTAGGTACTTTTTTCAATTGTAAACAACTTTTCTCAATAAAATTTTGCTAAATTTTTTGAAATGAGGGTACTTTACTCTTGATCAATTTTTATGTTTTTCGACCTACCCTGTATGCTGTTTGACTTACAACCATTCTAAGTGCACCTCAAATGATTACCAAATATGCACCAACTTTCGGAACTATCTGTATTTTGGTTGTTCAATTCATTGAAATGATTCCCATATGTAGCAGTCTAAATAACCACACTATAGAATAGAATAATTATGAACCTCTAATCGATGATTTATGAAAGTTTCAGACAAACTTTGACGCTTAATCTCATTCAAAATATTTGTTTTTCGACAAAAATGTATCCTTTCATTTCGTATTGTTTCTTCGTCTCCTATCATTCATTTCATTGATCGTCCCAATTTCGGAAACACCCAGTATACAGATTTGAAAGCGGGCCTCCCTCATATATCTTTTATTTATGGAGCGATTTTCACGATTTTTTTCTACACCAAGGCCTACTAGATCACATTCAGATACTGAAAAACCCAGAACCAATATTAACGATTTTTTAGAGAAAAAAAAACGCGTACACCACTGGAATCGGAGTTCTCTGAAATAGATCTGAGAAAGTATTCAACATTAATGAATCTACAGCGTTTCTCATTTCTCATTCTCTTGCCATGATCAAGTTCGTAGAAGTAGTGACAGCAGCATTAGAGGAAGGCCTTTATATTGATGTAACCATGTGCGACTTGAGCAAAGCATTTGATTGCGTAGATCACTCAATATTGAAATTGAAAATGAAATACTACAAAATCGGTGGTACGGCTCTGAAACTTATTGACTCTTATTTGTCGAATAGAAAACAATTTGTTGAATTGAACGGTCAGAGATCAAGTCACAGGAACAATGACTATGGCGTTCCTCAGGGCTCTATTTTAGGCCCAATATTATTCTTGGTTTACATAAATGACCTTCCTCGTAGACTGGAGAACACTGACACTATCCTTTATGCAGATGATGCTACTTTCATACACCAGAATAAAGTTATTGATGATGTTCATGAATATTCCAATAACGCTGAAAAAATTGCAGAGACATATTTTTCTTCAATCAAACTAAAAATGAATGTGGAGAAAACTCAGAAAATAACTATAGCAACTAGGAAAAATACTACAAATATTGCCCCAGTCAAATTATTAGGATTCCATATCGACAGCAAATTAACATGGAACGTTCATACCGAACATCTCGCGAAGAAACTAGCATCAAATCTATTTTTATTGAGGCGATTGAGGAGATCGGTATCACATGATTTGATGCGAATGGCATACTTTGCTTTCATAAATAGTCACTTGCAATATGGGATTCTGATTTGGGGACACAGCGCGAACATGCAAAACCTTTTTAGGCAACAAAAACAAGCCGTTAGAATTATATCAGGCTCAAGTCCCAGGGCACATTGTAAAGACCTATTTATTGAATATAATTTCCTTAGTTTGCCTAGTATGTACATTTATCAATGCCTGGTTTATGTGAAAGAGCACTTGACTGAATACAAACAAAATTCTGATATCCATTCTCACAATACAAGAAATAACAATAATATTGTCATTGCTACAAATAGACTTCAGAAATCTCAACAAGGTTTCAATTTCTATGGTCCGACTTTTTTCAACAAATTACCTGAAGATATGAAGAAATTAAATTTAATGCCCTTCAAATGTAAATTAAAAAAATATCTGATCAGAAAATGTTTCTACTCTATTCAGGAATTCACAGCCTTATTGACACATGACATGATATAGATTTATAAAGCTTTTAGTTAACAATACTGAAATGTGATATTTATAGAACTAAGCGTATATGTTTGTTTGACCAATGTGATCATGTTTATTGTTATTTATTCTATTTCCTTTATTTTATTTTTTTCATTTATCTATTTATTATCAAACGATTTTTTTTACATATATTGACGAGTGTAAACATTTTACAATGTAGTAACACTATAAATAAATACAAATACAAATACAAACGGCCCCCTCAATATCTCAACTATTAGTCGTGCGATTCGTACCAAATTTGGACCTGTATGAATAACCATCAATATAATCAGTTTTTCATGTCGTGCTTTTTGTTGAAATAAAAAGGGGTCGATTTTCATGTAATCATATTATGAATTTTTCTGCAAAAAAACCAACTTCATATTATTATTCCTCGTGCTATCAAACCTCCATATGCAAAAAAATCGGATAAATAGTCAATTCAAAGGCTTGTTCGTTTGTGCTTGCTCTACCTGCTGAACTTGATTTTTTTCTATGACTTTCTCTGTTTACGTCATGCCATGGACAGATACAACTATAGAAAAATAATCAACTTTAGCATTTTAAGCAATACAAACGAACATGCCTAGCATTAACTGCAAATTTTAGATCGTTCAATAGCTCAGGTATGTAGAAAGTCGTTATTTCAAATGAAAAACCAGAAATACAATTCCATGTGAACTCCTGTAAATTATTAGCAAAATGCTGTTCAGATGTGCTTATTTTTTCGAAACACTTCATAGGAATCATATAAAAATTCACATATGGATGTTTGAAACTATGAAGAATAATATTATAAGGTCAGTTTTTCTGTAAAAAATTCAAAATATAATTTCATCAAAGATTAACCCCTCTTCAATATAATAAAAACGCATTGCACTGTCCGAAAGGATGTGTTTCTGAAAAGCTGATCATATTGATTGTCATACATACCGGTCCCAATTTGGTAAATATAAAGAGGGGGGCAGCTTGAAATGAGAGGTGCTGTACATTCGTTAAGGTTGAATATTTTTCCATGAAACTTGGTACAGATCTGTTTCAGAGGACGCTGATTCCAATGTGGCAAGCGGATTCTTTCTGAAAAAATCACTAATATGGATTCTGGATTCTTCAGCCTCTGAATATGATCTATTAAACCTTGGTTTTAAAAAAATGGACGCCGCTTAGCTCCAAAATACACCTTTTCACAATCTACATTCCAAAAAAAAATCGTCAAAATCGCTTATTAAATGAAATATTCATGGGGGTGGCCCGTTTTCAAATGAATCACTCTGTATGTATACTCTCCTCTCGGCGTTATGACCACTCGTGACCACTCTCGGCAATGTGTCCAATGAGATATTTCGGCAATTCGTCCACTTTCGGCAATTCGTCCACTTTCGGCGAAATGACCAAAAAGCTGTTTAGGAGTTATGGACACTTTCGGCGATGTGTCCAAAGACTTATTTCCAAAGAATTCTATCAACCGAAACAATTCGAGAGCAAAATTGAGCTTTCAGTTTCTACGCTGCGTTCTCGATCTGTTTGGTATCGTTTTGTACAGGGTGATTCACCATAAATGTCCCCCCTATAGCTCACTTATTTTTTAAACGATTTGAAAATTTGAAAAATCATCTAAAATGATTTTACATAAATTTTTTTCCCGTTGCATCAGAAAATACAGGGTGCTCGGAACAAACGATCTACAGAGTACCTACTACTTGATTTTTTCAAATAGAACACCCTGAATTTCATTGTATTTTTAGATTCCTGAAGAGATGATTTCATCAATGTATCACACTTGGGGTCTATCGTGAATGATTACAGAGATATTGGGGTGTTCAAAATCGAGATTTTTAACTTAAATATTTTTTTGTGTCGAAACTATTCATTATTGGTCAAAACGGCTGCTATGTCCTTTACTATTGTAAATTGTTCTAAAATTGTTCTATCCGTCATTCGGTTGCCCCCTTACGAGCAACCCTCAGAAGTCTTCGAAAGACTTGTGCGAGCAAGGAATGACGGGGGCCTTACCTTTTAACGTGTGATCCCAAACACTTTCTTAGGCCATCAGAAAAAGTCTGCGTTCGTGGGTCTCGAACCCACGATCGATACCTCGACGTGAATCGATATTGAAGCATCGAAGCACTGAGGTACGCCGGCCTCTCCGGCTGACATTTAATTGGAACATATACAGTGTGGTTCAAGATTCAGAAGTCTGATCACCCTGTATCTGTTCTAATTATTAAATGTCAGTAGATAGTAAATCGAAAGTTAAGATACGAACATGAAAGCCGTTTTGACCGATAATGGATAGTTTTGTCACAGAAAAATCCTAAGGTTGAAAAATCTCGATTTTGAACACCCTATATCTCTGTAATCTGTAATCTCTGTAATTTGCGCTAGACCCCAAGTGTGATACATTGATGAAATCAGCTTTTCAGGGAGAATCTGAAAATACATTGAAAAATAGGGTGATCCATTTAAAAAAATCAAATAGTACCCTGTAGATCGTTTGTTCCGAGCACCTCGTATTTTCTGATGTAGCGGAAAAAACTCTTATCGGAAATCATTTTAGATGATATTCAAAATTTTGCAATCGGTTCGAAAATAACTGAGCTAGAGGGGGGGGGACATTTATGATGAATCACCCTGTACCTTTCATAAATTTCAGTTTGATATTTGCTGTCACGATGGGTTGTCAACAAGATGCATGTTGTCAAGATACGAATTCAACAAACTATACTACTACTAATTATGACAAAACACTTTGACCAAATTTGTATTATTTCTTAATATTTGTGTTTTCCAGCTTAAAATCGCACCTTGGAAAAAATCTTGCATTTCTGTCCCTTGATGTATAATGTAATGTACTATTCTACCAGCGATTGATAAGGTAGCGTTCGACGATGTCAAATCTCAACACATGGAATGTCATTATTTGACAGCATTTCCGCTCATGAGCGAAAAAATGGAAACACGCTCGCTCTAGGGCGTTGTGAGTGAATTTATAGTAACTGTGTTCAAGGAAAAATAAACGAATAATATACAATTAAAACATAAATAGCTTATTGCTGTATTTACCTTCATCAATATCGTTTCTAGCCGCAGCCTCTAACAAAACAACGCTATCGTTAAAAACGATACCCCTTTTGTTCGTTTTTTGTATCTTCGATGCCTTCCTACCCCACTCTTTCTCGTTATGTTGCCACAATTTGAGTTGATGCATTCTCCTCTTTCGGGCCAGTAATAACCGCTCTTGAGTAGGCATTTGCTCAATGTGTAGCATTTCTTCGATTAATTGGTGATGTTCCATTTTGCTGTTCTTCGTCGAAATTCAGTCTTCACTGGAAGATAATAATAAATATTTGAGTCTCATGGATCATAATCTCTAATACACACTACTAATGATTATTTATGTATCAAAGATGTAAAGTAGGCATTTATCGTCTGAGGCATGAATAATGACCCGATGGCGTTAGCCGAGGGCCATCAATGCATTTACGTAATTTTATAAATATATTAATTTTCAACAAACATTTTTTCAACTTTATGTAAGTGATCTTATGGCAAGGTTTCCACTTTATACCAATTTCGTGTCGATTTCAGGACTAATTTCTCATAAGGCTGATGAGGCTGACGTATCTATGTACGAAACATGTACCCCCTGATGTGATATTGTTCACAGTAAACTGTCGTGGAGATGATTTTGAGTATCATTTAGTATTTACTACTACACTCCACTCTTCACTTTGAGAAATGATGGACTTTTACCAGAGATAAAGATATTTTTCTTCTAATGTCGGTATATTTCAAAAACTGAATTAGGGAGAATGGGTATGTTGCATTCGGCACGAATTTCGATTCACCCAAATTTCGATTCGCCCAATTTTCGATTCACCCAATTTTTTATTCACCCAATTTTCGATTCGCCCACCATCTCCGAATATACCCGAACGATGCGTTGTTGCCAAATCTGAATGAAGAATCATTCTGGGATCATCATTATTAAATATTTCAACTATTTGATTCACAGATACATATTTCGATTCGCCCAAATTTCGATTCGCCTAATTTTCGATTCATCCCATTTTCAATTCACCCAATTTTCGATTCACCCAATTTTCAATTCACCCAATATTCGATGCACCCAATTTTCGATTCACCCAATTTTCGATTCGTCAAAATTTCGATTCACCCACATTTCGATCGAATCTAACTTTGATCAACCCAAATTTCGACGTAATATAAGGAAGGAGAATATTTTTTTCTGCATAATGAAAGAGATTACCTTTTCCAAACTACCTGATCTAACTCGGTCTGAATAAACCTTCTTCCTAGAAAGTATATTTTTCGCATAATTAGTGAGAGAACAAAAAAGACTACTTTCTTGAAACAATCTAACCTTACTCCGCCAAAATGAATCTTTCAAAAAAGTATATTTTTCGGAAAACTAATTGAAAGAACCGAGGAGGCTAATTTTTCGAAAAATCGTTTATAACTTGGTCCAAATAAATTCTCATCACAGGAAATATATTTTTCAACAATCAAAATGTGTGCGAATCAAAATTTGGGAATGGAAATTTTGGCTGAATCGAAATTTGGGTGATTTGAAATTTGGACTGATTCGAAATTTGGGCTGATTGGAATTTGGCGGGTTAAAATTTGGTACATATTGAACTCAGATGCCTCAACAAGTAGCCTGAACGAAATCAATATCAGGACCGGAATAATAATAATAATTATCGAAAATCTGAGGTCATATTATGAATCTACGGAAAAAATACTATAGGAACTTGTTGAGAAAGTCAATATATTTTATAAAATTATAATATTTATAAGAAACCAAGACATAATAATTGTTGTTATTCTCTTCGGATAACTTCGTAGAAATATTTCATAAATTACCCTAGTAACCTAAAAAAAACTGAAGAATACATTTGTATCAGGAACGGAATAACTCTCTTTCATTTACAAGTACAGGGTGACCCTAAAATGTCTCTACAAAATCTCAGAATACATTTCTCAGGTCTAAATAAACCGTTTTGAATAAACTTATCTCAGTCCGAAATTGCTTCATTTCAGAGATACAAAGTGTTAAATTTAAAAACGAAAATCGAATTTCTTCAAAATTTATGAACATTTTCGAACGAATTACTTTGAAAGTTGGTAGCCGGGGGATATTTGGGTTGCGGAATCCGAATACGGACACAGTTTTACTGTGTTCATTAAAGGGGGCTCACCAATGCACTTCTTATGGTTCAGAAGGGTCATAACTTTTTTCTCAATGTACTTTTTCAGTTGCTTCAAATCGGCTTATTTTGACCTCAGGACAGGCGCTAAGATTTTGTACAGACCTTTTAGGGACATCCTGTATAACTGACCATGTATAACTATTCACATTAATCTGATCGTAAATTCGGAATCAACTGAAAAAATTGTGTAGGAACTTGTTGAAAACGGACAGGACAAAAATTTCGGTGAATTATATTTGCTTTTACTAATCAATATGAATCTATGTAAATTCAAAATAACGAAAAATAATTTTTTGTAATAAACATAGCAAGAAAATTTGATTTGGAGAAAACTTTTACTAGTGTTATAAGTTTCTATACGATTTTTCCAGATATCCTGAATCCACGATCAGATAAATGATATTTGTTATACTAGGTCAGTTATACTTACAACAACATAATTTATTCTCAAGTTTTTTAGGTTATGAGAGTAATTCATGATATATGGGGTATTCAAAGACAATAACAACATTTATGTCTTGGTTTCGTAAATATTGATTATATTTCCATTTTTGCTGATATTTTTTCCGACAATTAATGAAAAAAATCCAAATAATAACTCATAATGGAATAACTCATATTGTGACAGAAACTTTCACAACAAATTCCTACAGTATTTTCTCCAGTAGATTCATAATATGACCTCAGATTTTTGATAATTATTATACAGGATGAGTTATTCAAAAACTAAACATAGGAAAAAAAATAATATTCCGGTCCTAATATTGATTTCGTTAAGGCTACTTGTTGAATCATTTGAGTTTAGTTCATATACCAAATTTGAACCTAATCCAAAATTCACCCTGTATGTCAGTTAGGAAGCGGTTTTGGACATTTGTATATAACATTTTGCAATCATATTGACAGTCCATATAACTCCCTGAGTTTTGTCGGTTTCATCTCTGAACACCCTGTATATCTACATAATATCATATTTATTTTTTGACTGTGATTCTTTGATATTGGTAATACACTAATACCTGAGCTACATACCAAACTTTTGATAGTATAGGCATGAGTATATACCATCATATTTCTACTCCCAATTATCTTCATACATATAATCAAAATGTTCCTGAAAGTCAATTCCTAGTGTAAAACATTATGGGTTTATTCCAATAACGCCAATAACGCCATAGCTCTCATTCTCTACCCCAAATACGGCGAACAGAGTGAGAGAGACTGTCATCCCCACTTCAAACTCGACTGAATTGACATGACAAATGACAAGACATTGTCGCGAACACAGTGACATGGAACAAAATATCAAGAACTTAACTAAAGGCATACTTGTTTACTAAAGGAAGTATATTTACAGATTAAGTTTCGGTGAAGTGAATGTATGGATATGGCCATACAATTCATTCCAGATACCCGATGGATTAAATTTGCGATCGGATGCATTTTCGAGTTGTTTCAAAATCTTCAATGCAAATCTGCATTATCCTTCATGAAAATTGTAACGTGATATCATCTGCATTGCAGTAATTTCTCTATTTTGATCACTTTTTGAGATTACTGAGGTAGTCGAGCAACATAATCTGGTCAAGGGATCAATTGCTTTACTGAAAAGTATTATCCATTTCGACATTTATTAATATGTTCAAAAGCTTCTATAATTCTGCGTGATATATTTATTCCCTTGAGGATACTATCAGAAAACAGACTCACTCATAATAACTGTACATAATGTTACATACCTTATTCTTATGCAAATAGTGATTCACAAATAAAAAAACGATATTAGTGTCTACAAAATGATTAACTTTTGTTTATTGGTTCATCTGTTCCTTCGACTGTATTTTTTTTAAAGATACCAAACACATGAATGAGTAGATAATCAAGTTGGAAAACTAGAATATCAAGTTATCTCGTAATCTTATCAAACAATGATAATATTTCTATTGTAGTATATATATATTTTTGTGGGTGAACGAAAATACTACCTAATATCAATTCTAAAGTTTAACGCATTCGTGTTAATAAAATTACCATAAGTAATTTGGAAACAGCAGTAATATCCTAATTTAGAGGATCCCTATAAATCTACGATCGGAATTCTAACATGTGATAACTCTATAATTGAAATAAGACGCTTATTTGTATATTACGTAATATGTGTTGTAAGATGTCCTTATATTAACTCTTGATTAACTATCTACCGACATTTAATTGGAAAAAATACAGGATGGTCCAAGATTCAGAATTTTGATCACCCTGTATCTGTTCCAATTAAATGTCAGTAGATAGTGAAAGGGACATGTAAGCCGTTTTGATCGATAATGAATAGTTTCGACACAAAAAATTCCTGAAATTGGAAAATCTCGATTTTGAACACCCTATATCTCTGTAATAATTCCTGCTAGACCCCAAGTGTGATGCATTGATGAAATCAGCTCTTCGAGAAGAATCTAAAAACGCAATGAAATACAGGGTGTTCCATTTGAAATAACAAAGATGATGCTACTTTTTGGTAAAAGTAGCAACGCTGCTGCATCGCTGAAAATATTTTGAATCGTTAGATCACAAACGCTTATTAGAGTAACCAAATTTTCAGGATAATCCAATGTACCGTTTTCCGTATACGTCTGAGGTACCATCGACCGTGGGCCACCCTGTATATACACTGTTGATGGCTTTCGTTGTGCTATAGTTCCGAAAAATGATTCAATAATACCGTCTCCGAGCAAGAACTGCAAGTCCTTTTATCTTCCATTCGACTTCGCGGTTACGTATTACTAAACAACCACTAAATTCACAATATTTTGAAATCAAATCACAGAATTAGACTGACAGAAGTGACATCAGATATTTGATTACTTCAAACGAATGATAAAGTTGCCTGAGTCCCTACTGTTAAAAACTTATAATTTCACGTGGAGAATTTTCAGATTCAACCGGATCTAAAATCTACTTTTTTCCCATGTATAATAAATAATTATTTTTCTGCGACGGGAAAAAAGTTTGGCATTTCATCTCTGTTGGCAGGTTATAAAATGTCACTTTTCATAAATTACTTTTTTCCCGTGGGAAAAAAGTGAGTACTTCTTTCCCGGATATATATCACATATATATACTCTGTTAATGGTTTTTGTTGTGCTATAGTTCCGAAAAATGAGTCAATAATACCGTCTCCGGGAAAGAACTGCAAGTCCTTTTATCTTCCATTCGACTTCGTGGTTTCGTATATTACTAAACAACTACTGAATTCGCAATTTTTTAAAATCAAATCACAGAATTGAACTGACAGAAGTGACATCAGATATTTGATTACTTCAAAAGAATGATAAAGATGCCTATAAAACGCAGGTGTCCCTACTGTTAAAAACTTGAAATTTCACGTCGATAATTTTCAGATTTCGAAATAATGTAATATCTTCTCAATATTGATTCGTCCTTCCTTCTGTCACAGAAAAAAATATTAGATTTTAGCTCACGGTTTTTTGTCTCCCTCCGCTACGTGAAATTCGTTATGATAATCCCTAACTGATTATGGAATGAAATACAGGGTGTCCTATTTTAAAATGAAAAGTTGGTGTCGTTTCCGGTGCGGAGAAACGGGGGTATGGATCAGCTGAATTAATTTTGGAAGACGTTGTGAAGTATCAACAAGAATTTTATCTCATCATTTCATATCCAAGTGTGCGATTTCCTCGTTCATTAATCAGTTGATTTTCCATAATTACAGTTTAATTCTTACATATTATATACATTTTATTACTCACCTAAAGAATTACAGAATTACCAAACATATTCAAAGAATGAATGTTTATTTTGTATTTTATATTTAAAGGCTCATTAATGGCAACACTTTGTCTATTTTCTGTGATAGTCCAGCGTTGTTGCAACATGATAGTTAGAGAGGATAGTGTTGTGTAAGTGATTTGTGTTTTTACTTAATACCAATATGTAATGTTAAACATTACGACACTGGTTCTAGTACTCGTTTTAGTATCGTAATGAGATACTTTACCGCACTAGTGCTGTAAAGTGTTACTTTACCGCACTAGTGCGGTAAAGTGAAAACACAATTTCAATTTCCATTGTTTTAGTCAAAGAAAACAATTGACTATAAATATAGCAGATACTGAAGTATGAATAACTTGATTTTCCGCAATTTCTATATATGGATCAATAAATTCGTGATCGGAATTTTTTCGATAAATTTTTCTCAAATTGAAATGAACGCGTCAAAGTTGACAGTTTGAAGAATGAGTGACAACCGAGAACACAATAGATTCATGACAAGTATGTATACGCCCAACCCTTATTTTTGATTAAATAATTAGCGTTTTTGGTAGTAGGTAAAATATTGTACTATATTCGTATCGTAAATATCTATTACATGCCCTATGTGTAACGATTGGGCAGACCATCTGTATATGAAAAGATATAAGTAAGTATCACAGAACAACTCTTTTAACACCCCTACTTCATGTAATGTTACTACCAAACGTCTTCAAATATTGAACAGTAACAGCTGTTGTTAGTACATCTGGGACCATATTAGTGGTTAGAATAGGTTTCATTTCAAATTCACCATGTTCTTGCAATTCTCATATGAATTTAATTTAATATAATATTGTATAGCTCATCATCAAGTTCAGGACGCAGAAATGCAGTGACATTTGGTAAATGTCCCAGTCATATATTTAGCTGCTAGACAATGATAAATGAATAGTGGGACTACACATTTAATTCAGTCTTGAATTCAGTTTTCAATTGATTACCCACTTACTCTATATATATATAAAAAAATGTCCATCAACTGCCGACCACTGCCTGGCATTGCCGACCACTGCCTGGCATTGCCGACCACTGCCTGGCATTGCTGACCACTGCCTAGCATTGCCGACAACTACCTAGCATTGCCGACCACTGCCTAGCAATGCCGACCACTGCCTATATAATTGCCGTCCACCACCGAGCATTGCGTCCACTGCCTAAAGCATTGCGTTCACTGCCACTCATTTCCGTTCACTGCCGGGTATTTCCGTCCATCGACCATATGTTTTATATCGTTTTATATGTATTTCACGTGTTCATTATTCCGCCGACAATGCATCAGAATTTTTGTTAGAGAAAAAACAAAATGGCGGCTCTAAGATTGCGGACGAGATTTGTGATTCGATTCAAAATTGGTACGGTGGGGGTTTTCGGGGTCGTAGAATATGTTTTTTGTCAAAATCATAAATTATAGGGAGCGAGATGGGGAGAAATCATGAATTTGTAGCCAAAATTTATTAATTATAGATAGCGACTTGAAGGTGGTGGACGAGTTTGGTGATTATGGTCTTATTCTATGCAAAGTCGATATGTATGGGTTTTTGGGGTCGGACATTGTGATTTTAGTGGGAGAATGTGAAATTTCATCAATTCAAGATAGCGGTTCCAGGAAGGCGGACGAGTTGATCTTCAGCTGACCTTTCTCACCGAAGTGCTAGATAGCTCAAAACTGAAAAAAGGCTTTATAATTACGATGCTTCATCAGAAATGGTTATTTTGTTAATTTGTGAGTTATAGAATCAAAAGTTTGCCGCTTTTGTATTTGAACAGAATTACCTACGTTCACACATCCAGAGAACATTTTTTCCACTCTTAAATACGAGGAAGATGCCAAATTAAAATATGTAATTTTCAATTCGAACCACCTGAAAATGCACATTAGGAGTTTAAAAGTTCTCAGCAATACTGATTTTGAGTCGAAATTTGAATGACTTCGAAGATGACGAAAACCGAACGAAAACAAAAGTGAGATGCGAGGTGAGATGGTAAACCTGGGGGTTTTCAAGGACTGACGGACTGAGACGTGGACATTCAAGAATGCGATCGAAATTATCATTTCATGTTTATATTAAGAGTTTTTTGTTATCTCTCCCTTCAACTAGTAGAAATAAGTTTAGATTTTTCGTCGCCGCTTTTCGAGGCACGAATAATAGAATAAAGAGCTGAAAAGTGTTTTTTTATACACTGTGTCCAAGATAAGGATGTCTATCATTGGGATCTCGAAAACCATAAGATATACGAAGATGGTGGAATCCGAGAAAAGTTGTGCATTTTCAAGCCTAACAATATACCGTTTAGAAAGTTTTAAATACCGAAATTTGCCGATTTCGTTTTTTAAAGAGATAAGAACACAAAAGAAACTTTATTATTTCCACTTTTTAAGCTCAACAAAACAGCGTTCAGATATTTAATACAGGGTATACATTTTTCAAGGGTCATATAAAAAAATAAAGTTGGTGATGGTTTCTCTGAAACGAAACGTCGTACGGAAAATCTCTCAACGCTGTTTTGTAGAGCTTAAAAAGTGGCAATGAGAGTTTTTCGTTTTCCTATATCTCTTTGAATAACGTCAAAAAAAACGAAATCGGAAAATTTCGGTTTTTTATGCATATCTCCGGAACTACTCGGAATATTAAAACTTTCTAAACGGCATATTGTTAGCCTTGAAAATGCTATAATTTAACCACCTTCGTATCTCTTATGGTTTCCGAGATCCCCATGATAGACATCCTTATCTTGGACACACTGTATATATTCATAATTAGTTTCTTAGTGATTTCGTGAAAAACTCTAGTGGACTTACGCAAACTCATTGTACATACAGGATTGCTGAATTTGTTTGAGTTCTCAACATTCCTTGATTCCTTGATGACCAATCGAGATAATTGTAGTTGAAATAAAACGACAATGGAATCTTGAATTCATCTAGTACGCTGCCATATGGAAGGACCGGAAAGGACTCGGGAAAGGATATTAGCGATATGCTCGGCGATATGGCAAAAATACTTCGAGACAAGCTCTCAAGCG